GGTGCACAAACCCAGAAACTCTGTACAAGACCTCTCCAGTTGAACAATGAGAAAGAAATGTTTCCTTTCCTCACTATTGCTGTTTCCTCCCCCTTCCCCCTTCCTTTATATATTTTCTTGCTAGCCTCTTTACTTCCCAGGCTTCTTTCAAATCCCTGTTTATATGATAGTTTCCTGTACAAATGTGTATTCCGCTTAGATGGAAATCTTGCCTAAATGAAATTAGGCAGATATGTCATGCCAGATATACACATGACTCACTCTATTGCTTCATTGAGTTTCCTGGTTAAACATCACTTTACTAAGAAAGGCTGTACCTTACCCCATCTTCGTCTCAAAGAGCTTTCTCTCCCAAATGATCACTTGACATACTATACTTTCCCTTGAAACATTCATCATACTTGTCAACTATGTGTTAATTTCTTAATTGATTTTGATCCTTCACAAACACCATGAGACCAGGGCCTCAGTGCCACATCTTTATAGTCAAGAACAATGTCTGGTACAGGGTAAACCCTAAAAAAATTTAATTAAAGAAATACATATTCAATTATGCCAATTAAGAACCTTGAAGTTTATCTTTTAAAGCTTAGTACAGTATATTAAAGTTCAGAGCTTCCTCAAGGTCACACAAGTGGTAAGTGGAACCAATATCCAAACTCAAATCTGCTGACAATTTATTCATATGACCCTATAAAATACCAAAAATATAAAGATAAATTAATTTTATAAATATATTAGTATATCTTTATAGTTAAAGCATAATGAACATAGCAGGCAATGCATTAAACTTTATTATAAGCAACTGCTTATTAGAACATGCTAACTACTTATCAAAATGTACAAGGCCAGCCAAAACCTGTTTGTCTCAGTGAATAGAGCATCGGTCTGTGGACTGAAAAGTCCCAGGTTTGATTCCTGTCAAGGGCATGTACCTTGGTTGCGGGCACATACCCACTAAGGGGTGTGCAGAAGGCAGCTGTTTGATGTTTCTCTTTCATCGACGTTTCTAGCTTTCTATCTTTCTCCCTTCCTCTCTGTGGAAAATCAATAAAATATATTTAAAAAAAAAAAAGAATGTACAAGGCCAGAATATCAATTGTAATTAATATGAAGGTTGCATATCAATCAAGTGCACTAGTTTTTCTCTGCAAACTTTTTAATATGGAATTTTAAGAAAAAGAAATGGCCAATTTTATTTTTCATTTATTTTGCCTAATTCTAAAGTGGCTGCTCATTCCTCAAGATTGAAAACTCTTGTTGCTTTATTTTCCTCTCTTTTGGGAAGATGAGAAAGACGGTGGAGAAATACATCTTTCACGTTTATAACTTATGAACCTTGAAGCCCCACAGATGTCTCTTGCTTCCTTAGAGACACTTGAGCACTGATGGTTAAGCAACTAGATTTCAAGCCAGATTTTTGTTTAAGCATTCAGACTTTTTCTTGCTTCTCTTGCAAACTCCTCGGCCTTCAGATGAGTTGGAAAGAAAATGTATAGTTCTCAGATTAATTTTTACATAATAACATTTTATCTTTTTATCAAAGATTTTCTTGATGGGAAGGAGATAAAGTGGACTTGGCTACAAGATTTTATTTTGCAAAGTTAACAAGACAACATATTCTTTTATCATATGATTTTTTTTATTAATTTCTTTTTTTCCAATGTGAAACATATTTTCAATTTTAATATAATGGGAAAATAAAGATCTGTGATAAATTTATGTGTGTAAACATAATTATAAAGATATAAAGATTAAGTACTGTGACAGAGTCCTCAAATATTTTAAAACCAATTTGCTTTAAATTTTTCAGCACATTTTCTTCTCAGCCTTATTTTACTGGGTTCTGTTTTCTATCATGAGAAAACATTCTGTCATGTTAATATACAATAGCAGCAAAAACTGCATAAAGATACCATCCTCAGTGCTGCTAAAAAGCATTTTCAAACATTTTCTTAAAATATAAGAAGTCACCTACTCAGATTCCAATGAATATAATCAGCCATCTGAGGACTTTTTATATTTTTGTGTGGTGAGCAAACATTTTATTTGAACTGCCTAAAAGAAGCATTACATCAATTATTTCAATTTCATCCTTACGAAGCTAGATGCTCATGTCCTTCTTTATCTTAAAAATTGTTAAAACACTGAGAAAGTAGTAACTAAAAAATCCCCAAAGAAAAATGATTCATTACCTTACTATTTACACCCAAATATTTTAGCCTTTTACTTTGAGTGCCTGCCTATTTTTGTGCAGAGAGAATTATTTTATACATTGAAAGTCATATTAAGCTTTTTAAAAATATGCTAGAGGCCTGGTGCACCAAATTCGTGCACAGGGGTGGGGGGTGTCCTTCAGCCCAGCCTGCACCCTCTTCAATCTGGAACCCCTCAAGGGATGTCCAACTGCCCGTTTAGGCCTGATCCTACCCGATTCCTCTCACAATCCAGGACTGCTGGCTCCCAACTGCTTGCCTGCTTGCCTTTCTGATTGCCCCTAACCACTTCTGCCTGCCAACCTGATAACCCCTAACCACTCCCCTGACAGCCTGATTGATGCCTCACTGCTCCCCTGCCAGCCTGTTTGCCCCTAAATGCCCTTCCTTGCAGGCCTGGTCACCCCTAACTGCCCTCCCCTGCAAGCCTGGTCCTCCCCAACTGTTCTCCCCTTAAGGCCTGAGTCCCCCCCACCGCCCTTTCCTGCATGCCTAGTCGCCCCCAACTTCCATCCTGTGCCAGCCTGGTCACCCCTAACTGCCCTCCTCTGCTGTCCTGAATGCCCACAACTTCCCTCCCTTGAAGACCTGGTCCTTCCCAACTGCCCTCCCCTCCTGGCCATCTTGTGGCGGCCATCTTGTGTCCACATGGGGGCAGCATCTTTGACCACATGGGGGCAGCCATATTGTGTGTGTTGGAGTGATGTTCAATTTGCATATTATTTTATTAGATAGGATATAGGCCTGGAGCACGGGTCGGGGCCAGCTGGTTTGCCCTGAAAGGTGTCCTGGATCAGTGTGGGGGTTCCCTTGGGGCATGGGGCGGCCTGGGCTAGGGGCCTGTGGTGGTTTGCAGACCGGCCATGCCCCCTGTTGACCCAAGCGGAGGCCCTGGTATCTGGGATTTATTTATCTTCTATAATTGAAACTTTGTAGCCTTGATTGGAGCCAAGCCTCCTCCTCTCTCCATGGCCCCAGCCATTTCTGTTGGGATTTATTTATCTTCTATAATTGAAACTTTGTAGCTTTAAGCAGAGACCAAGGTAGGCCAGGACAGGAGGAAAGCTTGGCTTCCTCCTATCCTTCTGCTCTCTCTGTGGCCACAGCCATCTTAGTTGGGTTAATTTGCATACTTGCTCCTGATTGGCTGGTGGGCATGGTTTGTGAGTGTAGTAGAAGTACAGTCAATTTGCATCTTACTCTTTTATTAGATAGAATTACCTTAAGCAATATCACCAAATCAATGAAGGCTTTTTAGCTATACATGATTATAACACTTGCTGAAGCAATGCCTATACTGTCTATACTGGGTTGGCTAAAAGTAGGTTTAGAGTTGTTTGTATGGAAAGTAATACAATCATTAATAAATAATAATACAGGAATAAACTCTTGTTTCATGTACTCACAACTGCAAACCTACTTTGCCCCACCTGAATGTTTAAATGTTGCTAATTTAGTAGTTGTAAAGTGCTAATTCAAATTTATTTTCTTGAATCTTTTCATTGTAAAATAGCAGTGATCTCTATATTTTATGTTAATTATGTGTTCATAGCTTTGGAAGTAGGCATTTCTTCACACTATTGTTGCATATTGAAACATTGATAGGCAATAAATGATCAAGACATTGCATAATCCCCAGAGAATTAACTTGAAATTTTATATAGCTCCCCATGATGTTCTAAGACTATAAAGTATCCAGATACAGCTGAGCCTCTTTTGCTTTTCTAGTATTAATAAATATTAATATGAAGTTGTCAGAAACAGAGAATACTTCTACTCATTAATACTTTCTCTGTTTAGAGTATGTGAGTTTACATAGATGCTGAGAAAAGTCAACTGGAGTTGACTTAACTCTTGCATAATTTTGAGCAACTTTAAGCCTCAATTTCCTCATCTGTATGTTTTTTTTTTATGGCATTATGGTAATTAGCATTTAACATATGACTTGGAATATAAAAAGAATTCAAAATGTTAACTATTATTATGAAGTCTGATCAATTGTGTTAAACCAGAACTTTTAAAACATATGGTCTATTTAGGTAAGTTGATGTAATTAATTTTAAAAATGCATTTTATTTTTCTATTTGGAAAATTTGTAATATTCAGTATAATATGACTGTTAACAGTAATTGATGGCATTACAGCAGGAAACATGTTGTACCAGATGTATTTCTTAAAGCAAATCTAAGTGATAAAGCATGCTGCTATCACCATGAAATGCACATAATGCCCATCCACTGAAGAACTGTGCAGTAGGTAGTGTAATGTATTAAATATGAACGTTGGCAATTATAACTTTATAACTTAGAAAGCAATACAGCGACAAAGAGACGGTTGCTCTATCTATGATAATTTGAAATGAATAAACTGGAGGAGACTCCACTTAATAAGAGATAAACTATCATGCTGGAAAATAAGCTGAACAGATTAAATGAAATAGGAGCCATAGAGGACCACAGAGGTTGAAAAGCAATAAATAATTCAGGAATCCTGCTATATATTAGGAGTGTGAGCTATAGAGTCAGGCAGACCCACAAGTCTGAAGTTCATCACTTATTCACTTTGTGACTCACAATAACCTCATTGAATCTCAGAAGAAGAAGAATATGTTTTATTAAAGAACACTTTATGTCCTAGCTGGGTTGGCTCAATGGATAGACCATTGGCCTGTGGACTGAAAGGTCCCAGATTTGATTCCGGTCAAGGGCACATCCTCGTGTTGTAGGCTTGATCCCCATTTGGGGTTATGCAGGAGGCAGCTGGTCAATAATTCTCATTGATGTTTCTATCTTTCATTCCCTTTCTCTTCCTCTTTCCAAAATCAATAGAAATAAAATATATTTTAAAATATCCAAAAGCAAAATTAAAGTTTTTGATTGTACCCAAAACTGACCTTACGCATTTTTATGAATTTGTTTGACCTAATTAACTTACACTGGTAATCTTCATATTATTAATAAATCTGCCTCAGTCAAATGATAGAGCACTATAATAATGGATTTCAATTTTGCCCCCAAAAAGCAAAACTTAAAATCTATAATCTTCAATCACCAAAGATCTACTTTATTGTACTTTAAATCATTTAGCATTCATTGTCACTATGTATAGGTTTTTTTAAATTAAGGCTAGTGGTGACTTGTTTACTTAGAATTCAAAAACTATATTAACTATGACAGTGTAAATTACTGGTGTGGAATGCCTAATAATACAGTACTTGTTTGTACATTTCCAACTGAAGAGAAACAAGTAGCAATGCTTTGGGTTATAGTGACACCTGGTGGTACTGTTTTCTTAGAATATTTTCTGATTAGAACTGTTTTGTCTCAAACTTTTTTGTAAGTAATCATTTTATCTGCTAGAATGTGCCTTGGGAGCCTTCTCTCCCTTCCTCGCCCCACATCTCTTTATGTGGCAGGAATACTTGGGCCAAAAGCCCTGCTGGAAAGAGCAGCCAATGTCCTTTACATTTCTGCCTTGGGTTTCAGAAAGAAATCCATGTCCTTATACAAGAGAAAACTAATTTAAGGCAGAAAGAATAAAGACACTGTTATATTCTAAAATTGGAAATATTAAGACTAGTGACATGTTATGAAGTGTTTCTGCAGATGTATATTTATTGACTGTTCCTGGCATTCTCCAGAAGGTATATACTGTATTATTTTAGCATTTTATAGTTTGAAAAGCTGAGGCACAGAGAGGGCTCTAGATAGTACCCAAGGTCATAGAGTTAACCAACTTTAAAATCTCCAGAAAAGCCAGAATTCCAGTTGAACCTTATCTCTAATTTTGAGAGAGAAAACTAACTATACTGATAGGGAGTAAAAAAAAAAAAAAAAAAAATACTTATTCATGTTATATTATTTTCTTCTGGGAACATTAATTTATTCAAAATAGTAAATGTAAGCAAAAAAAAAAAGATCAAAGGAATCAAGAGCCCAAAGAACTTCGAAGGAAAGCATGATTGAATAGGTTACATCATACTGGTCTCCTAACTCCCTTTGAATCTCCTCACAGCATTCTACCCAAAGGTAACCCAGACTTCTGGATATTTCTCACATGAAAGATTTTATCAGGTTTTAGACTTAAGCATGTTGATCTGTGCCTACAGTGAGTACTTGCAACAGAATCCCTTTAGGCACAGATTTAAAGTACAGCACTTTAAGGTCAGGAAGTAGAGCTTTTTCCCAAGGGTAGCCATGAAAAGGTTAATTAGAGAGGGAGTGGACTTTCTAAGAGCAAATTACTTGCAAATAAAACCATGGAATTTTTCAGCTGGGTAAAGCTCCATGAATTTTGTGAACATATTCTGTACTTATATTTATGTAAAGGTCACATTATTTTTTTAAATATATTTTATTGATTTTTTACAGAGAGGAAGGGAGAAGGATAGAGAGTTAGGAATATCGATGAGAGAGAAACATCGACCAGCTGTCTTCTGCACACTAACTAGCAGGGATGTGCCCGCAACCAATGTACATGCCCTTGACCGGAATCGAACCTGGGACCTTTCAGTCCACAGACCGACGCTCTGTCCACTGAGCCAAACCGGTTTTGGCAAGGTCACATTATTGTTGGTTATATATTGTAACATTATTGTGAGGCACACCATACTTGCAGTTTTCCATCGGAATCTGGGGTAAATACAAACTAGAGTGAGAACCTTTAAAGTTACACTCTGTGTGTATTGTCACATTTTCATTGTGATTTTCTCATAGTTGTTCCTTGAAAATTACTATATAGTTTATGGTTCATTGACAATATGTTTGTCAAATTGTGAGAGTTTAAATGTTGTTTTCATCTAAGGGAGGGACAGGGTAATGGTTCCCTATTAAATATTCATGGTGCACAATGGGCAAAATGAAAGTGGAATGGCAATGTATAGCCTTGATGAGGGAAAAGGGCAGGTGGCAAAGTGGCTAGAGGAGATACGCCCCTAGAATAAGATGCAAGCAGGCATGTTCACCAGGAAGCTACAACAATGGGAGGTGACCAGGAGCCTGACTAATAATTAGTAGTAACACCCATGATTGGGGAAGGCTGAAAATCCTGACTACACAAAATACATTAAGTTTTTAACAAGGGTTTTTCTCCAGCTAATCATTTATGGCTACTATAAAGCTGCTACATTTTTAACTTAAAAACTGAAATTTGAAGAAAGCTACTGCATATCTTAAAAGATGATGTGCTTTTTAAAATAAGAATAAATAAAAAGTTTTTGAATATAGAATGTACCAAATATAATCAGATATACTACACACTTGAAATAAGTATTTTTTCATTTAGCATCCAGAGTAAGCAGATTAATAGTTTATGTGATTGGTTTTATGTGACTAATAAATCAGAAGCCCTACTTAAACAAAAATAGTAGATGCCATGTTACAACATGAACTTCTCAGACTTGTCTTTGAGTGGTGAAAGTGATCGTTTTATGTAACTAAAATTATTTTAATGACTGTATTTAGTCATGGTGCAGTTCTTTCCAGTTAGAACATTTAAACTTTTAAATGATTTTTCAATAGTCAGGCCCAACTATTAAGGCCATTTCCTTTCTTTCATGTTCCTTTATAAACTATTTACATGCATTTCCCTCTGCACTTAGTTTGTACCCTGGTTTTTCTTCAATTAAAATCCAGCACCAAGGACATTACATAAATAAAATCAATAAAACTGCCTTTGTGAAAAGTTAACTTTCCAAAAAGTTTTGCTCCATTTAAGGAAAGATTACTTGTGATGCAGCAATTTCTCTTTTTAACCATGAGTTCCTTAGAAAAGCAAAACAGTTTAACTTTGAATTACTTGTTATTTAAAACCTGAATAATCATCTTCAAATTATTAACAAATTGCCAGGTGGTAGATGACATGACATATTCATTCAGCATTTCCTGGGAACCTGTGGTGCCAAACAAACCCTGGTTATATGTGTGAAATTTTTTTTAGTGAAATGAAATATGGTATTTTTATAGAGAGACAGGTAAGCAAATAATTGTAATAATGTATAAGTGCTGTGATAGAGAAATGTGCAGAGTAACTTGATGGTTAATGAGGGGAGTGAACAGTTCCTTGCCAGGTTGTGGGAGAGGTGTGGGTTTTGGGGATGTGAACACCAGAGCAGGCTTCAGAAAAGAGAATACTGGATTTAGAGTTTGAAGAATGGGTGGGCATTTGCCAGATAGAGGGTGAGTGGAAGCACAGAAACAGTGAAATAAGAATGGCCTTGTATGATGTAGTCCTTCAAAATGTCTTCATCCCTTCAGTTATGAAAATTATTTTCCTTAAACACAAGTTCACAGACTTTCCAGCCCAGATCCATGAAAAGCTACATTGCTTCTCTTCAGAGCTCTTTCCTTCACCATCTGTCTCCAAATCCATTCCCTCCTACATGAAGAGTCTCATTAACCCAAGCCAGACTGGAGACCTCACCATGACTTCTCCTTCCCCTCAACCAGGCCCTCCAAACTTCTTAGCCTGGTATATAAGGACCATCACCACTCCTGTCTGTCTCCCCCACCCCCCTCCCACCCACAGCTCACCACTTCTATCAGTCTCCCCCACCCCCCTCCCACCCACAGCTCACCTCCCTTCACCCTCAAGCATCTTTGGCTCAAACTCTGCCAAATTCCTAAAGGTCTCAGCATACATTGTCTTTCTCCAAGTGTGTGACTGTTCTTCCTGACACACTTCAAGCTACATTCTCTCCCTTCCCACCCCTTCCAAACTCCCTTTAGCAGAGTCTCCACCCTGCTAACTTTATTCAGTCTTTAAGACTCAGCTCAGGATAGCACTTCTCACATTTGTAGCCATGGTTTGTGTGCCTGTCTTGCAGGTTAGGCCATGTCTTTCTTGAGGGCAAGAATGATACCATTCATTTCTCCTCAATCAGAACTTAAAAACTTTTCTGGCATAGGACAGTCATAATAAATGTTTATTGGAATGTTACAGTGTCCAGTAACAGTTTGAAATTATGTACAACTTGGTTTAGACTGTAGTGTTCTCTTATCATGAATGCTCTTGTATTGTATAATATTGATAACTTTCTTTTCAGCCAAGTGTTTTGTGCCCCATAAATCAATTTAACAAATGAAGTAGAAAAAACAACAACAAAAAAAAACACAAACATTTGAGTAAGTCATGAGAAAATAACTTTAGGTATCAACCAATCCATTCATGTATATGCTTCTAATTAAAGATTTACTTCCTTGCAAATATTAGATTTTTATGATTTCAGCATTATGTTAGCAATTTGCAGTGTACCATCTTATGCATATCAATTATTTCCTATCATATTTACTTTTTTTGCTCATTTGATAGAATTAAAGTGACGGATAGTCTTCCATCTGCAAGCACAGTTGAGCCACTGTTTTTAGTTACATGCAGGAGTAAGCTGGAACAAAGTTATATAGCTCATTATAGTAAATACTAGAGGCCCAGCATGCCTCTTGAAATCATTTGAGGAGGCAGCCTCCTCCCACCTTCTTGCGCTGCCACCCTCACACGCCTTGCTGCACATGTAACCTCCTGCTGATTGGTCATTATGGTGTGATGGCATGATGACCATTAGCATATTAGTTCTTTATTTAGGATGATTAATCCAACCTCATTCTTGTTTACAGTGGGCCACTAGAACAGGACAGATTCAAATCCTGTGGCAATCTGATTTCTAGCCTTAAACTCCTTGGCACTCCTCCTGGAACCCCAGTGGGATCTGTGTGTATATGGGGAATCAAAGGAGCCCCCTGGAGTCTCTCCTCTTCCTAGTCTGTCCATTGAAAAAGGTTTACAATATGCCAACGTGATAGCCAGTTGTACCAGAGTGCAAGTTCACTCTGTTTGCTGGGCAAGGCCACACCACCACCAGACACCAGCAGGGGGTAGCGACAGTGCAGCATGATTGGCTTCTGAGGATACTCGGCCATTTATGCATATGGATATATTTCTCATAAACTCTGAGCACTGTTTCCCCCCTGAGAGGCAGGAGATATAGTTTACATCGGAGGATGGGGCCAGATCGTTTTGGGGGTTCTTGCTCGTTATCTCTGTTGGATGAGAATAAAGGCAAGAGTCTTATAGGAAGTGTTTCTCCAGGCAGTTTCCTCCTGGTACAAGGCAAGCACACATTTCATCTCATTACTGTCTGAGGTCCATCCAAATGGAAATGGAACCACTGGGCCCTCTAGCCTTCCTGCCATGCAAGCGTAACAGTCGCTTTTAGTTAGGGCACATAGAGAATATTTATCCATTCCACCCAGGCATTCGTTCCCTTATCCACGTTCATCTCTCTGATTAGGAGTTGCAGTGATGGGATGTTACATCATCCCATGTATTATCCAAAGGCTAATTGAAACCGCATTGACCAAACAGCAAAATAGTCTTCTCCTAGACACTGTAGAGTAGGGGTGTCGAACTCAATCAGAGAAGGGGCCAAAATCTAAAATCCAGCCTAAATCGCGGGCTGAATGGTTTACTGAACAGTCATAAACTGTCATTGTGATGGAAACGCAGCGGAGTGCAGTGATGACAGCGCGGTGCGGGCCACATTGCAAGGCCTGGCGAGACGGATTTGGCCCGTGGGCCTTGTGTTTGACACATGTGCTGTAGAGCATAAAAGTCAATGAATGTCAACTCAGTTTGAAGAAAGGAGTTTAAATAAAGAAAAGTGGGAATTGTGAGAATAAACAGGTCATATTTCCTGTCAAAGAACAGTTTAGACAGCCACCATTTTGGACTGCATGACCTGGCAGGCACCATTTTGGACTATGTGACTTGGCAGCCACCATGTTGGTTGCATGACTTACAGCTCCTTGGGGGCCACTATCATGAAACAACAAAGGGCAAACCCTCCCTTTGAATTAGCCAATCACAAAAGACTGTGTCTGAGCTCCAATCATGAGTGAGAGACAGGTTAGTCAGAATTAAAAAGCAGAGCAGACCACCTGTGCTCCCAAACCATGTGCATGTTCATCTTTCTGTGCAGAAGTAAAGATATTTGCCTTGCTAAAATATATAATCTCAGAGTGTGTGAAGCTGGATTTCACATCAACTCACACAGAAAGGAAAGGGGTGCCATTTAAGTGGTGGGTGAATCTTTTGACACTCATAGAATATTGAAAATCCAACATTAACAGAATCCATAAGTGTGCAAGGCCAAATCTAGAGACACCAGGAAAATTCAAGGATGTGCAGAGCAGAAAGAGAACAAGAACTGAGAAAGTAGTGTCATGTGGCCTCCCTACCTACCCCCAGCCAATACTGAAAGAGCCATAATCTAGTCCAAGTGTACTTCTCTGATCTTTCCTGTAGCACACTGTGGTATCTTAAATGATGCTGGGTTTCCTGAGGCTTGTGTTGCTGACTCCAACCCCACCCTAGAGAGCACTGAGGGACAGATACTGTAAACATCCTACACTCTCAGCTGTGGAAAGTAGAAAGGCTGGGAGAAGGCTGTTTACTCTGTCTGCCTTGGAAATCAACCAAAGAGACATGGATTTGGGGTGTTTTATATGTCTTATAATTGATCCTAACTAGTATTTTATGAGGTCAGTTCTAATAGGAAAGAAAGTAAATTAACTGAGTCATGCTAACAAATATAAAATAATTTGGAAGATCACTTGTCTTTGAACTAACATCATTTTTTAAAAAAAAGATTGCCAAATATGCAACAGATGAAAGTCCTGGTAACTTCTATGAGGCTACATTTTATGAATTGTTGTAGCCTGGTCTATAAAAGCAAAAAACCATTGAATGTAAATAATATGCTGAGCAGTTCTCCATTAATCTGAATAGCATTTTCACGCCGAGTTTAGCATTTTTTAAAGAAAAGTCTGGTGTCCTAGGGCTTGTTTTTTTGTCAGAAGATCAGATTCCACTTAAAGCCTCATGGTTAAAGATTATAATGTTGAACAGTATGAATAAATGCATGCAATATAAAAGCAGAATATAGTTACGCATCCTGAGAAAAGATAGGATTATGGGGCAGGTAGGTATGATGCAGCAGAACTTGACCAGAAAAATCATAGCACTTCATTTATTCTTTTGTGTAAATAATTAAATTGAAGATTTATTTAATATTTGTCTAAAATTTGACTTATCCAAATTTAATCCCTCTGATTTTTTTCTAATTAATATTGAAAAATTCTTTTTTTCAGAGGGGATATTTGAATATGGTATAATCTAATGTAAGATAATTAACTTAATGCCTGCTTTGAATATTAAGCAAATCTGGACACAATGACTTACCTATATTATATTGGCATATCAACATATGCCAGTCATTTAAGCTAAAATACACTACTGTTTTAAAAGTATTAAAGGAACTTTTAATTTCACCTGCTTGCTGAGACAATAGGAACAATTGTTTCATGATTCTCTTGCCAAAAAAAGTGTATAAATATGATTACCTTAGCTCATGATTTCTAGGAAGTATTTGAACAACCTGGCCTTGCAGCAGTGCTACACTGCTGAAGTGCTTGCTGAGCAACTCCAGTTTGGGTGAGTCCTTAACCCTTTTAGATTCTGCCCACAGGCTTAAGGAAGACCTCTTTGATACAATGTTTTGTAATCTTCCCAAAGAAATAGTTATTGTGGATAGAAATTTTACTTTCTGCCAGGAGGTGCAGAGTCTATGGGTAAATACAAAAGCAGCTGAAAGTGGAAGGAGAAGAATGACCCATCTG